GAATTCTTGATCTACTGAGGTGGCCTCCACGTGGTTCCGTGGTGCTCCAGGGGCAGACTGGTCAGGCCTAAGGGCCCTGCAGGGGTTAGGCCAGAGCAGAATGGTAGAGCCCACTCCAGCAGATTGCAGCTTTGGTCTGAAAGTCCTGTGTACTAAAGAGGAGGGCCAGGCCCAGGATGGTTGCTGATTTATTTGGTGCTTTGCTTGTGGGTGATAGGTAGGGTGGGGAGCGGAGGGAGGAGGCTCAAGGCTGTCTTTGCCACCACATTAGGGGATGAGGATGGAGTCCAGTACCACTCTCCAGCTCCTAATTACTGAGGTGTGTGTGTGGGGAGAAAGCCTGATTTTTCCTTTTGTTTGGTTAGTTGGGACTGATTGACATGCAGCTAGGACTCCTTGTGGTGCTCCTGTCTCAGCCTCCCCGGGGGTTTTTTTTTTTTTTTTTTTTTGACACAGGATCTTGCTATGTAATTCAGACTGTCCTAGAACTCACTGTGTCGCCCAGGGTGCACTCGGAACTCAAGGCAATTCTCCTGCCTCAGGCTGCTGAGTACCTGGATTACAGGCGTGGGCCCCCACGCCCACAAGAGGAGCTTGATTTTAAGCTGTTGGTGTTAAGAGGAGGGGCGATGTGGGACCCCAAAACCATACTGGATGAAAAGCTAGGAAAGGTTAAACAGCAGCACTGGATAAGATAGGGCATCTGGGCGGGGGCAGGGGGCAATGGCGAGACTCCAGACTTGGGGGCTCAGGAAACGCTGCGCAGCTGGGCGTGGGCCGGGAAGCTGGAGTGGGGGTGGGGACCGCGTGGTCGGTGGGGGTGGGGCGACGGGCCCTGGCGCGGAGCCCGGAACACCCCGTGCTGTGCCTGAAGTGCCATGTGACTGTGACTCTGCGAAACAAAGGGCGGCTCTGTAGACATCCCTCCCTCGCAGGGACTGGTACCGAGTGCCCCCAGGACCCCCACACCTTTGGCTTTCCTTGCCGACCGGAGATCCATTGGGGGGAGTTGGGGGCGCCCTGGGGGCGCCCTGGGGGATGGGGAGGGAGACGGGACACAGAGGACGCTGAAATGCGGGGGAGGAGGAAAGGAGTGGTAGCGCCTGTGATCCCTCAAACGTCACCCTCATGTGTCATTGGTGGGAGGATCCTTTCCCTGCGTAATCACTGCTCTCTGCTTAGGAGGCTTAAATGAGGCCTTGTGCGCAAGGAAAGCCTGATGGGAAGCCTTCGAGTTCCTCTTTACCAAACAAGCATGTCTGAGGTCAGGTCAAGTAGCTGTTGCTGCCACATACACAGCAGGGATGTTGACTCCGGCCAGGTGGCCAAGATGAGGATGGGGAAGCTGGGTAGTGCGCGGAGCTGACCAAGATGCGCATGAGTGGGGGGGTGCTGCGCCTCCGCCAGAGGCTTAGCTGGGTTGGGGGTAGGGGCTGCATGGGCGTGGCCTGCCCCTCTGCGGCAGCCCCAGCCTGGCTTGGTTCTGGGGAAGCTGGCATCTTGGGAGAGCACTGAGGGCACCGGGAGGGGCTGTATCTCCCCCACACTTTGCAGTTCGGCCTCCCTAGAGGATCCCACCCCTCCAAGGAGCTCCAGGGCCTGTTTGGTTTTGTTTTTATTTTTTGTTTTTCTATGGAATCTTTTTTTTTTTTTTTTTTGGCGGGGAGGGGAGTACTGAGAATCGAACCCAGGACTTTGCGCTTGCCAGGCAAGCACTTGTGCCACTGAGCTATATCCCTGGCCCTGTTTTTGTCTTTTTTGAGATACAGTCACTATGCAGTTCAGACTGGCCTTGAGCTCACTTTGTTTTGTTTTGTTTTTTTTTTTATCTTTCAAAACTATTTGAAGTGGAATTCTCAACTTCCAATACCATGATTTGATATGCTTAACATCATCTATTTATTTATTTATTTATTTGTATTGTTAATTTCTTTTTTTTTCCATAATTTTATTGAGAAACAAATAGCAACGAGACAGTTTCAAACCAAATTGGTAGGGCAGTTTCAATAATTAACACATTGCATACATTCTTCCTAGTGGTTAATTGCTGTACAAGATGCGGACATGATAGCCTATTCACAAACACTATTAGAACAAATCCCTCTATTCATTAAGAGAATGTAAGTATATAAATATCCTAACCACTTTGAATACACAGATACAAAATGGACATTGATCCGTATCCCCTTTTTTGTTCGGTTCCGTTATTTGAATATTATAGGTGTGTTAACTCAACAAAATATTCTAAAAAAGTCCAGTAGTCCATAATAGTATTGGGTCTTCTGTTTCCCTGGCAATGTCAGAAATTGTTGACCTGAGTCCCCTACAGCTCAACATAACACCATGTAGATCCTTTGTCAGTGTCAGCCATGTGGATGAGTCACGGCCATTGCTTGGCCAGTGTGCTCTCTGTGAAAGCCTGAGAGAATATTTTCTCTCCACGTGACTCTCCTTAGGCACACTCTACATCATCGATCACTTTCCTCTTTGGCCCCATAAT